GATACATGCCCCTAGTGGGAACCAAACCCAGGTCTCTCTGGTCCGTGGGCCAACACTCTAACTGCTGAGCCAAACTGGCCAGGGCGGTAAGCTGATTTTTGATAAGTATATTCAAACCCTTGAAATGTGATCTCACTTCAATATTTAGAAAATGAAGAAAAGTTTTCACTTTTACTAGGCTTCCACATCAAGAAAACTGAGTGGTCAAAGTTTCAAATAAGATATATGACTCCTATTTTATCCCTAGATTCTGGTATAACAACATTAGAAGTCTGTTAAGTCAGTTTCCTGGGAAAGGTTCATAAACTGATAATGGGACTCTTTTGTTCTTACCATATCCTAATGGAAATCATTTCTGTCTACAAAAAAATGAGAAAAAATTTCCAAAAGGAGAGGGGAGGGGAAAATATAAGTTGGGAATATGAAAAAGGAAAAAGGAAAGGCAAAATTCAAAGAACTCTAGAATGTGATTTGCTTATCTCTCATTATACTTTAAATTCAATTGCAGTCGGCCCGTGTTTATTGCAGTTAATCAGTTCCAAACTCTACTGCGATCAATGAATTTCCACGAAGTAGGATTCTTTATTTACATACAGTTGTCCCTCGCCACTTCGCCACTTCGTGCTTCGACTTTCATGGCTTCACTCTATGGGGGGGTGGGGGAAGGACCGCGAGAGTGAAGCCCCGAAGTTGAAGCCAAAGTGGGGAGGAACGACTGCACATAAGTGGATTCCCTGAATTGTGGAATAAATCTATTATTTAAATTCAATTGTTTTAGACATCTCAGGAAATTCCACAGTACATTAGTTTTATTAATGTCTCAACTGTATGATATTTTGTATGTCAAGAAACCCTTTGGACTTTCCTATTCCTCAAACTATTTTCCTGACTTTATTAAAGATTTGAGAGGATAACAGGGGTCAGTCTGGCAGAGTAGAATACAAAAATGTGAGAAAGACCAGGCAGCATCTCAATTCCTCCAGAATACTCCTCACAAAGTGGCATCATTACTATGCTAGAGTTGAATTAACAAATTTTACACACTTCCCAGTGAAAGTAGAAAGACATACCAGAACTACTTTTATTTTGGTTTTAAGTATCCACATGTCTAAAAGTTGAATTAAAAATAAACTCAAATGGATAAAAGACTTAAATGTGACCCAAGAATCCATAAAAATTCTAGAAGAAAATGTAGGCAACAAAATTTCAGAAATCATGCGCAGCAGAATTTTCACTGAATCATCACCTAATGCAACAGAAACAAAGGAGAAAATGAACACATGGGACTACATCAAACTAAAAATCTTCTGCACAGCAAAAGAAACCACCACCAAAATGGAAAGGCAACCCACTCTATCGGAGAGCATAATTGCCAATGATACATCAGATACAGGGTTAATTTCCAAAATATATACTCACACAACTCAACAAAAGGAAAATAAAGAACCCAATTAAAAAATGGGCCCTGGCCGGTTTGACTCAGCGGTTAGAGCATCGGCCTGCGGTCCAGAGAGGCCTGGGTTCGGTTCCCGCTAAGGGCACGTACCTCGGCTGCAGTTTGTCCCCAGCCCTGGTTGGGTCATGCAGGTGGCAGCCACTCGATGAGTCCCATTCACGTCGATTTCTCTCTCCCCCCACCACTCTATCTGAACAAAAAATGAAAAAAATGTCCTCCAGAGAGGATTGATAAAAAATGGGCAGAGGAGTTGAATAGACACTTCTCCAAATATGACATACAAATGGCCAAGAGACATAGGAAGAAATGCTCAACTCACTAATCATCAGAGAGATGCAAATTAAAACAACAATGAGGTATCACCTCACACCTGTCAGAATGGCTGCCATCAACAAATCATCAAACAAGTGTTGGGGAGGGTTTGAAGAAAAGGGGACTCTAGCCCTGGCCGGTTTGGCTCAGCGGTTAGAGCGTCGGCCTGAGGTCCGGAAAAGGGGACTCTAGTACACTGCTGGTGGGAATGCAGACTGGTGCAGCCACTATGGAAAACAATATGGTGTTACCTCAAAAAATTAAAAATTGAACTTCCATTTGACCAGTGATCCCACTTCTAGGAATATACCCTAAGAAGCCTGAAACACCAATCAGAAAGAATGTATGTACCCCCATGTTTGTAGCAGCACTATTTACAATAGCTAAGATCTGGAAACAGCCCAAATGTCCATCAGTAGACCAGTGGATAAAAAAGCTGTGGTACATATACACAATGGAGTACTATGCAGCTGTAAGAAAGAAAGATCTCTTATCCTTTGTGACGACATGGAGGGACCTGGAGAGTATTATCCTAAGCAAAACAAACCCAACAGATAAAGACAAGTATCATATGATCTCACCTATTTGTGAAATATAATGAACATAACAGTCTGAGGAATGGGGTAGTCCCAGAGTCGTGGAAGTGGGGTACAGACTGACAATCCCCAGAAGAGGGGGTTGTGGGGGAGAGATAAACCACAGAATTTATATGCATGTATGCATGAACAATGGACATGTACAACAAGCCGGGAACTGGGTGGGGAGGAAGGGGGAAGGAGAGGGAGGGGAAATCAGTGAGGCGAAAAGGAGAAACATCTGTAACAAAAATAAATTAATTTAAAAAAATAAATAAAACAAAAAACAAACAAAAAAAGCTGAATTAAAAAAAAATTGATCAACATGTATTGACTCTAGCAAAGTATTAAATTAGCTTTTCTCTTTAAAGTAGACCCCAGGTTTAACTTACCTCAAGCTTTTGTGAGTCAGAGAGCCTGTATTCCTATACTTTAACTGTGTGTAAGTTAAATATAGAATCTTTCCTATCACATAGAATTCAAAGGCCACAAAATTTTAGTTAGAAATTAGATTTATTTTTTATTTTGTAAAAGACATTATATATGTTACCCTTGTTATATATTATATAATGTACAGGGTGGGACAAAATAGGCTTACAGTTGTATGTGCAAGTTTATTATAAAAAGCATAGTATGCCCAGCTGGTGTGGCTGTGTACTGAGCATCATCCCATGGACTGAGAGGTCCCGGTTCGATTCTGTCTGGGCACATGCCTGGATTGCAGGTGCGATCCCCAGTGGGAGGCATGCAGGAGGCAGCCAATCAAGTTTCTCTCACATCAATGTTTTTCTCTCTCCTTTCCTCTCTCTGAAAAATCAAAACATTTTATAAATAAATAAATAAGTAAATGAATAGCATAGTAATATGTTTGAAACCATGGCTAGACCTGAACAGATTTCTGATGAAATAAAACTGAAAGTTTTGCTTAAGTGCTAGGCAAAAGATATAAAACAGTGAAAACATGTTAAATACATACAAAAAAAGTATTTCACATTATGACCACTGTTTTACATCCCATGTGCAAAAGTCAGCAAAGTAGGCTTCAAAACATCCCTGGTTGTTTTAGTAGGATATTTTTGGGCAATGATCCTGTTTCCTTATGAACAACTACTTTATTCATCCATTGTGTTGAGGTGTTCTTGTGTTGATCCTTGTGTTCACAAGGATCAGTGAACCCCTGTGATAAAGAATACAACAGTATAAAAATGCTGATGCACACATTTACTTATTTTAGAATATTTTTACATTTATTATTAGATAGAGTGGGAGGGAGGGAGGGAAAAAGAGGAAGAGAGAAAAACATCGATGCAAAAGACACATCGATTGGTTGCCTCCTGCATGACCTGGCCAGGGTGAACTGCAACCGAGGCATGTGCCTTTGACCGGAATCGAACCGGATTCTTTGGTCCGTGGGCTGATGCTCTAACTGCTTAGCCAAACTGGCCAGAGCTACACTTTGATTTTTAATAAATTTTTTTTATTGATTTGTTTTTAGAGACGAAAAGAGAGGGAGAGAAATATCAATGTGAAAGTGAGACATCAATCGTCTGCTTCCTGCATGGTTCCCACCGGAGATCAAACCCACAACCTGGGCATGTGCCCTGACTAGGAATTGAACCGGTGACCTTTTGTGCAATCAGGGCTGATGCACACATTTGAAAGCAAAAGAGAACCCCAAGTTTGAAAATAAGCCAGAGATAGTTATAGTACTAATACAAATGAATGTCTTGAGGCTTAGTAAGTACTAGTATACCACTTCTTTTTATCTCAAGATAGGTAAAATATCTGAGCACCTTATAAGGTAAACCTCTAAAAGTTCTACCATACTGTGCCTTTTTCTTTGCCCATTTTTTAGGCTGTCAATGAACACCCTCAGGAATTGCTCAATGTGTCAGGGTCCCCAAGACCCACCAACATTCGATGACATGCTTGGAGGATTCACAGGACTCAGCATATTGTTGTATTCATGGCTATGATTTATTACAGTAAAAACATAAAAGCAAAAGAGCAAAGGGAAAAGGGCCTGGGACAAAGCCTGGGGTAAATCAGGCACAGACAGCTTCCAGAGTCCTCTGCCAGTAGAGTCACAGAGGATGTGCTCAATTCCCCCAGCACCTAAGTTGTGACATGTGTGCAATGTCTACTGTGAAAGAGATGCTAGGCCCAAAGTTATTTTTGCAGGCTAGTCACACAGATACCTTCTGCCTAGCATGTACCAAAATCCTAGACTCCCAGAAGAAAAGCAAGTTTTCAGCACAAACCACATTGTTAGCCCTGGCCAGTGTGGCTCAGTTGGTTGGGCATCATCCTGTGCACCAAGAGGTTGTCAGTTCGATTCCCAGTTAGGGGAAAAGCCCAGGTTGTGGTCTCGATACCCCGATAGGGGGAATGCAGGGGCAGCCAATCACCGTTATACTCTCACAAGCATGGATGTTTCTCTCTCTCTCAAAAATCAATAAAAAAAAACTTTTTCTTTTCTTTACTGATTTTTTAGAGAGGGGGAGAGAGAAATAGAAACATCGATGAGAGAGAACATTGACTGGCCGCCTCCTGCATGCCCCCTACTGGGGATCAGGCCCACAACCTGGGCATGTGCCTTGACCGGGAATCGAACCAGCAACCTTTTGGTGCATGGGCTGAACCTTAACCACTGAACCACACTGGCCAGGCAATAAAAAATATTTTTTTAAAGAGTATGTTTTTTAAAGAGAGTATGTTACTTTTTCACATTTAGTGACAATCTCACAGGAATAATCAACATATGTTCAGATTCAAGACTTCTAATTCAGAAATAAGCATTAAAAAAAAAAAGACATATAGAACCTGCTACCTGAGATATGGAGATATGGATAACAAACTCATGTTAACAAATTGTCAGTTATACTTGATCTTCATGAGTTTTATTGAAAAGAAGAATAAAAGTATATGAAAAACATAGAAAAATTTAGTTTGGTCTTAATGAACTTGGAATTTTAGTCCTTCAATATAGAGAGGGCTCTTTCAGTATTGCTAGCAGCAAAGCCTATTGATAGAGACCTGCGTTATCATTGACTAAAAATGGCCTTCACATTACTACACACAAATAAGCAAAAATAAATTATTTACTTTTGCTTAATTGAATCAGTTGAATCACTTGGCATTAATAGTTTGGACATAAACTTTAGAAATAAAAGGTAAATAAGGCGTTATGGTATTATAATATTTTGTGAAGATAATTCTCTTCAGCTAATATTTTGGGGATACAAGAGGAAATTTCCTTTTGTTGTTCTCGCCACTTGAGTATATTCTCTGCCAGTTCTTCTGTCTCAGTCACCAAAATATCCATCTTGGCTAAAGCCTTGCTCTGTATCATTGGAAAGAAGGGGAAAATAGGAGAGAAATTATGCCTGTCATTAATACATCATTATTATATCACAAATGGCTCTAATACTAAAAGTTAACACCTGCTTTTTTCCAGCCCCTGAATAGAAAGGTGCCTTAAAATTGTGCTTTCACTCTTAAAAATGTGCTTTTAAAAAAACTTTTTTTTGTTAATCCTCACCCGAGGATATTTTAACACTGATTTTTTTAGATAAAGTGGAAGGGAGGGAAGGGACAGAGAAAGAGAGAGAAAGACTGATGTTGAGAGAGACACATTGAATGATTGCTTCCTGCAGGACCCAGGCTGGGGATTGCACCTGCAACCCAGGTACACGCCCTTGACAGGGAATTGAACTCATGACCCCTTTGGTCCTTGGGTGATGCTCTAACCGCTGGCCAGGGTAAGACATGCTTTTATCTTTGTGAGTCGCCTCTCCTTTGTCTTTAATTATCACCTTGATGCAGATGACCCTCAATCTATATCGTCAAACCTAATCTCCTTCCTAAAATTCAGTCCCACATTTCAGTCTGTTAGAAATCCCCATCTGGAGATTTAATTTAATTGCAGTTCAACAAATAATGATTGCACATTTACTATTTACTATCTGTGTAAGCTATACCAAAAAATAAACTCATTAACTTTTTTTTTAATTGATTTTTTTAGAAGGAGAGGAAGGAAGAAGGAGAGAGAGATAGATACATCGATTGGCTGCCTCCTGCACACCCTGTACTAGGGATGGAGCCTGCAACCCTAGTTGCAGGGCACAGGGCATGTGCTCTGACCAGGAATCAAACCAGTGACCTCTTGGTACATGGGACAATGCTTACTTAATCCACTGAACCACACTGGCCAGGCCTCATTAACTTATTTAATCTTTTGCTCCTACTTACCCTCAAGTCAGCAAGGCTAGAAACTTCATTACATTGGACGTCTTCCTTGTCCAAATAGTAGCCATATTCTAGAAATTTGACCATCAAAATCTAAATATCTACACAATCCTTTGTATTCCTCAGCTTTAAGTATTTTATCTGAATAACTGTATTTATTCTCCAGGTTTCTTTGCCTTTGGTTCCTCTGCCTAGTCCTCTAACACACAGCTTATCAAACTTTAATGTGCATAGGAATCACCTGAGGAACTTATTATACTGTAGATTCAGACTGTGAAAGTCTAAGGTGAATGACCTGCAATTCTGCATTTCTAACAAGCTTCCAGGTGATGCTTACACTGATACTCTCTGCCCACAGTGAGTGGCAAGGCTCAGTCCACTCTATTCAATATTTTCTCCATGATTAAAGCACAGTTCTGATCAAGTCAATCCTCTGTGTCTTTCTCTTAAAAAAACAACAAAAAACAGCCCTGGTCGACTTGGCTCAGCGGTTAGAGCAGTGACCTGTGGTCCAGAGAGACCCGGGTTCGGTTCCCACTAAGGGCACGTACCTCGGTTGCAGTTTGTCCCTCTAAGGGCATGTACCTCGGTTGCAGTTTGTCCCTGGCCCTGGTTGGGTCATGCGGGTGGCAACCACTTGATGTGTTCCCTTCATGTCGATGTTTCTCTCTCTCTCTCTCTCTTCCTCCCACTCTATCTGAACAAAAAATGGAAAAAATGTTCTCAGGTGAGGATAAAAAACAAAAACAAAAACAAAATTCAATGATTCCCCATTTCTCAGACAGTAAAGTCTAAACTTCTAAGTCTGGTTTTCAAGGCATTCCATAAACTAACCCTGAGTTAATTTCCCTCTCAATACCTTTAAGCATCACCCAAAGTAGAGTACCACTCTTCCCCCAAACTACTTGTACTCTCTAATTTTCTTCTTAAAACTTTTATTTATTTTAGAGAGAGAGAAGAGAGGGAGAGAAAGAGAGATGAGGGAGAAAGGGAGAGAGATATTTTGTTGTTCCCCTTATTAATGCATTTATTGGTTGATTCTTGTGTGTGCCCTAACCAGGGATTGAACCCACAACATTGATATACTGGGACCATGCTCCAACCAACTGAGTGACCCAGCCAGGGCATTGTGCTCTCTACTTTTCATGTCTTTCCTCATACTGCTGCTTTTAGCTGAACTATTCTTTTTGAAGTATGTCCAAATCTCACTGATTCTTCAAGATTCAGCTTACTACTAACTCCTACATAAAACTTTATTGATGTATTCCTATCCCCATCCTACTCCCAATCTCCCTAAAGTGGAAGCAATCCCACCATTTTCTGTACTTAATAGACAGCACCTTCTTTGTAATTCTCTGCATTACTCATTGTGCAAATCTACTATAAAGTAGAAAGTATCTTATAGCTCCCTCACCAAGCCTTGAGAATTTGAGGGCAGGAATTAATCATAATTAGTCATGATTATCTCTCATGATACCTTGCACAATGATGATAACACATTTATTAAATATTGGAATAAAAGAATGTAAAATGACTTTTAAAGAAAAGTAATATAAAAAAGAAACATTATCTTGATTTTAAAAAATAATTTGCTCATATCAGCCATCAACAAGTTAAACAAGTAGCGCACACATTTGAGATTCTAGTATAAAAGAACTAGCCCTGGCCAGTTTGGCTCAGCAGTTGAGCGTCGGCCTGCGGACCAGAGAGTCCCAGGTTCGGTTCCTGCTAGGGGCAAGTACCACAAAAAAAAGAAAAGAAAAGAACTAAAGATAGCTAAAAGTAATGTGAAAGGAGTTGAGGTATTTAAATGCTATTTTTAATACTCACCATTTTCTTTAGATTTGCATCTAAGTGAGGAATACTTCTAATTGTTTCAAGATGAGTTTCTAATCTCTCAATGAAAGTCACTGCTAATTCCAGCAAATGTACCAGGTATCTGAAACAGGGAGAGAAAAAAAGCCAATTATTATATTTTTAGTGTAGTTATTTTGTGCTCACCTTTCCTCCTTTTAATTAGGATTTTCAATATGAATTAAGAGAATTATAATCAACCCAATTAGCCAATAATAACCTTTCTGCATTCAAGGAAATATCAAATGGCTACTCCTCGGTGAAGAGTAAAGACAATAAGGACAATATACTTCAATGAAACAGACTATAGATAAAACCACTTTGAATCTTTACATTTGCACAATGCTTTAAAATCATTACTCAGTTCTTCTGATCTATATAATGTACAATATATACATACATTAATGGTATTTTACTGTACTAAATAGATACTGAATATGTCCACAAGAATGGGATTTGTATATCTATTATATTACTGTTAGATTTTAAAAAAACACTTGATACTGAAGAGAAGTCACTGATTTGCTCAGGGTCAGCTAGTGAAGCACTGGTAGAGAAAGTCTGCAGTCAGATTTCCAGATGCCTGCTTCTTTATTTTATTATTAATAATAACTGACATCTTCAATTTGGTACTTGCAATACTCCCATGAAAAAGAGAGCAATAGGAAGCATCTATGGATTGAAAATCTGTGGCAAAAATTTATATCATTTGCCCAAGTCTTTGAGGCATATAAACAAGAGAAAAGAGACCAGAACTCAGTTTTTTTCCCTCCTTTGGTTCACATTGTTTTCATCTGTACATGCTGAAATGCCACCAACAGATTTTTTATATACAGGGTGGGGCAAAAGTAGGTTTACAGTTGTTTGTATGGAAAATAATACAATAATTAATGAAAAATAATACAAGAATAAGCTGTGTTTCTCATACTCATAACCATAAACCTACTTTTGCCCCACTCTGTATAGGCAACATTAATGCAACAACAAATTTGCTTCATGGAAAACAGTCTGTACATAATAAAAATGATTTTTACTTAATTTATTCTTATTATGGATCTAACTTCATTCATTAAAATCATTATTTATAATTCCCAACACACTAGGAACAAAGGAATACCTTTCTTTTCACCACAGCTATACTTTAAAAGCCAAGGATTTTCTTTCTAGTTTAATGTATCTAGTTTAATTTATTAACATTAATAATAATGTTAATAAATATAATCACTAATATATTATTTAATGAATAATGCTATGAAATGACTACCAGTCTAAACTACCTTCAGAAACATGTGTAACTGTTAATGTCTACTTTTAGTCTAACCTGTGATAAACAGCTTCAATAGGCAGGTTTTCCTGGCACATGGGTTTCAACAGTCTTTGCCTGAGGGACCTCTTTTCTTTTAGCACTGCTTCCAAATGATTATTCATGCTTTGAAGAGTTTGACATTTTTGAGCTACACAAACCAGAAACAACAATTATACTTAGCAATAGGACAAGTAAATTTTGAAATCACTCATAAATTCTTTGCTTTGGTTTGATACTACCAATGTAAACAATGATCTCACCACTTCTCGCCTAAATATCTCCCCCCCCCTTGCTATACCTAATATCCAATACCAATTTCATTTTATTTTCTCTTATTTTGCCTTCTGACAACCAAACCCACTGCTAAATTCTTTGTGTTTTTCAACTCTACTTCTAGTTCAGTTTTCACAGTCAGAGCTGTATTTTTCAAATAAAGTCTCTTTTCCCATCTCTGTCTTTAATACTCTACACAAACATTAAAAAAAAAAAAAATTAGCCCTGGCTAGCTTGGCTCAGCAGTCAGCGGACCAAAGAGTCTCGAGTTCGATTCTGGCCAAGGGCATGTACCTCCGTTGCAGTTCGGTCCCCAGCACTGGTTGGGGTCGTGCGAAGGCAACCAGTTGGTGTGTGTATCTCACATCGATGTTTCTCTCTCTCTTCCCCTCTGTCCCTCCCACTCTATCTGAAGATAAACAGAAAAATATCCTTAGGTGAGGATTTAAAACAAAAACAAACACAAAAAACAACAACAAAAACCTTTTGTCTTACAAGCTGTTTATGATCATTTCAATGTTTTCCCCAGAATTCAGTTAATGGCTTCTTCTTATAAATTTTTATTTTGAAAAAATTTCAAACTTACAGAAAAGTTTCAAGAATAGTTCACTGAACTCCCATATACATTTCACCTAGACTCACTAACTGTTAACACTTGGCTACATTTTCTTTTTTTCCCCTCTTTCTCTCCACACCCTTACATATATTTTTGCTGACCCATTTGAGAGTAAGTTGCAGGTATCATGACCTTTCACCTCTAAAATGTCAGCCATGTATTTCCTATCTCATATAACTACACTATAAGTATCAAATTCATAAAATTTAACATTGGCACAATATTACTGATATTCAAGACGGCCCATATTCAGATATTACCAAGTATCCCAATAATGTCCTTTACAGCAAAATTTTTTGCAAACCAAGCATTCAATCTATGATCACATTGCTTTAGCTGTCATGTCCCTTTAGTTGCCTCTAATCTGAAAAGTTCCTCAGCCTTTTTTTTAATCTTTCAAGGTCTCCTGATTTTGAGAAGCTCCTACCTTGGCCACTTTTTATGCAATTTGCACTAGTCAAGCCAACAGGACTTTTGTTTGAACACAGAAATAGGAAACTTTGCTAGCTTTGGGGCAATACCTGGAAAATAATGGTATATCATAATGCCTGGTGCTTATTTAAGGTAATCCAAGAAAAAGTTGAAATTCCAACGATTACCCACCCATTTAACCAAACCACTTACCCAAAAAAGAAGGATGAACAATATCTGCTGTATCTTTTTCTAGTCTTAGAAGTTCAATTTCCAGGTTTTTCTGCATTAGAAACAAAAATATTTAACTCACTCAGAAAGGACCCTGATTAAAGGACAGTCTCTGATAGAAATGGATAGTTTTTAACCCAGGAATACTTAAGGGGGACAGGAAGATTTTTATGAGAGCCCAGGGGATTTACTGAAGCTTTTCACATTGGTGTTCAAGCCCTGTTGCTGTTACTGCTACTACTACCAACTACTACTATTACTATTACAACTACATTAACTACTACAAGTAAACACCTACCCTGCTATGTGCTAGACATTGTTCTAAGTGCAAGAGAATTGCTGTTGGAAACAATTAAGTTTTTTTTTCCTGTACTACAATTAGAAAGTAAAAAGATTTACTTAATTTACCTGATTGATTTCAGCTTGAATATTTGTGGTCTGCTGTAGCCTGGAGAAGTTCACAAAGCAAGGAGTTGATTTCTTAGATATATTTAACATCTCCTAATAAAAAGTAAAGAGAAAGCAACAGCATGTCACAAAGTTTCTATGTGCATTGGAAAAGCATGCCATGGGTCTAAAACAGCGGTTCTCAACCTATGAGTCATGACCCCTTTGGGGGTCAAATGACCCTTTCACAAGGTGCTGCCTAAGACCATTGAAAACACATATTTCCGATGGCGATTCATAACAGTAGCAAAATTACAGTTATCAAGTAGCAACAAAAATAATGTTATGGTTGGGTGTTGCCACAATATGAGGAACTATATTAAAGGATAGTGACATTAGGAAGGTTGAGAACCACTGGTCTATAATATAATGATATATTACGTCCATCACTATCCCTAAAAATTAAATACAGAGTACAACAGAAGCAATGGTTATTTCCTGTTTTTAAAACATCCACTATCACAAATTATTTGCCCAAATATTTTAAAAAATAAAAACAAATGACTTATTCACTTTGTACTATTTCCTAAAGTACCAGGGACAATAGATTTACATTACTGATAATTCATCAGAGGATTCTAAGGCTGAGGTTGTTGGAGAATCACCTCTATACAAATGACCAAGACCTAGTGTCTCGATTTGCGGTCAAGATGGCGGCGTAGGTAACCGCGGTATCGTGTCCTCCCACAACCACATCAAAGTTACAACTAAACTACAGAACAACCATCATTCAAAACCGCCTGAAATCAAGCTGAATGGAAGTCCTACAACTACGGAATTAAAGCAGCAGCCACATCGAGACTAGTAGGGGGGTGGGCAGAGGCACGTTGGGCTGGTCCCACACCCACGTGTGGCAGATAAAAATCAGGAGGACACCTTGGCTGGGAAGGTCCTCCCTGAGGACTGAGTGGTCCCCATCCCACACCAGATGCCCTGCTCAGGGTTCCAGTGCCAGGAAGAGAAATCCCCATAACTTCTGGCTGGAAAAACCAGCGGGAACTGAGGCTCAGGGAGGCTGGGGGGGGGGGTGGAGCCCCAGGCAGCTCCTTAAAGGACCTGCACATGGACTTATCGGACTCTCCCTCTAAGCTTGGAGAGGAGGCACCTTGAGGGGCGCCAGAGACATACAGGGAAGAACTGAGCTGTTTGGCATTGGAGCAAGGGCTTTCTACCAGAAAAACTGCTGTCAGAGGCCTTTGTTCCTTTGGTGAGCCCTTCCCTGGGGCAGCATATGTGGGACTCCAGCAACCTGGCTCACACTGGTTGGCCCACCTTCGTGACTCCCTGAGGCCCCGCCCCACCCAACTTTCAGGCCCACCCAAGCTGTTGCCAGTTGCTTCACCATAGGATTGGCCTGTAGTGGATCCTGCTTCGGGTTTTCCTAAATTCTTTCAAGCAAGCAGCATCTGGTCTCAGATAGCCCCATACCTCAAGTTAAGTAATACCCAGAAACAAACACAGGGAGGCAGCCAAAATGAGAAGACAAAGAAACAGGTCCCAAATGAAAGAACAGAACAAAACCCCAAGAAAAGAACTAAGTGGAATGGAGATAAGCAACCTAACAGATACTGAGTTCAAAATACTGCTTCTAAGGATGCTCAGTGAACTTAGTGAGGGCCTCAAGAGCATAAAAAAGGACCAGTCAGAAATGATGAATGCACAGTCAGAAATGAAGGAGGCATTAACTGAAATAAAGAATAATTTACACAGATTCAATAGCAGAGTACGTAAAGCCAAGAAGCAAACCATTGATTTGGAATATAAGGAAGCAAAAAACTCCCAATCAGAACAGCAAAAAGAAAAAAGAATCCAAAAAAATGAGGATAGTGTAAGGAGCCTCTGGGACAACTTCAAGCATGCCAACATTCACATCTTGGGGGTGACAAAGGAGAAGAGAGAGAACAAGAAATCGAAAACCTGTTTGAAACAATAATGGGAGAAAACTTCCCTAACTTGGTGAAGGAAACAGACATACAGGTCCAGGAAGCACAGAGAGTCCCAAACAAGATGAACCCCAAGAGGCCCACACCAAGACACATCATCATCAAAATGCAAAATGTTCAAGACAAAGTAAAAGCAGCAAGAGAAAAGCAGTTAGTTACCTACAAGGGAGTTCCCATAAGGCTGTCAGCTGACTTCTCAAAAGAAACTTTGCAGGCCAGAAGGGAGTGGCAAGAAATATTCAGAGTGATGAAAAGCAAGAACCTACAACCAAGTTTACTCTATCCTGCAAAGCTGTAATTTAGAATCGATGGCCATATAAGGAGTTTCCCAAATAAGAAAAAGTTAAAGGAGTTCATCACCACCAAACCGTTATTATAGGAAATGATGAAGGGTCTTTTTGAAGACAAAGATAAAATATATGAACAAACAAAATGGCAATGAATACGTATCTATCAACAACTGAATCTACCAACAAAATGAACAGGCAGAACAGAAACATTCTCATAGATACAGAGAACATTTTGTTGGTTGCCAGATGGGAGGGGGCCTGGGGGAATGGGTGAAAAAGGTAAAGGGATTAAGAAGCACAAATTCATTGCTAGACTAACAAATCTCAAAGGGAAAGGGGTTGGGGGTGGGAAGAAATAAACCAAAGAACTTATATGCATAACCAATGGACACAGACAATAGTGTGGGAAAAGACAGGAGGGGGGCAGGAGTGGGGAGGAGGGTGTCGATGGGGGAAAAATGAGGAACATCTGTAATACATTCGACAATAAAGATTTAAAAAAAAAAAAAGAAAGACCTAGTGTCTCTGACCTTCTTGAGTTAAAATCAAACACTTCACCCACTCCTGCCCTCCATGGAGTCATTTATCAGATTCATTAAATGACTTCTATTGGCTACAAGTCATTCATACTATCTCTTTTCACATACTCTCTTTTTTTTTTTATCCTCACCCAGGACATTTTTCCATTTTTTGTTCAGATGGAATGGGAGGGAGAGAAGAAGAGAGAGAGAGAGAGAGAGAGAGAGAGAGAGAGAGAGAGAGAGAGAGAGAAACATCGACATGAAAGAGACACATCGAGTGGCTGCCACTTGCACAACCCAACCAGGGCCGGGGACAAACTGCAACCGAGGTACGTGCCCTTAGCGGCAACCGAACCCGGGTCTCGCTTGACCGCAGGCTGACACTCTAACCGCTGAGCCAAACCAGCCAGGGCACATACTCACTCTCTTAAATGAAGGAATATTTGCCCAGGCATCATTATTCTTCTAAGAAGACTACCCACTTCTTTTTACCCTTTCATTCTGTTATACTGTCTCCTTAAATTGCAGGTTATCTCAGAATAAGAATATTATCTTGCTCATCCCTTGGCTTCATCCATAATTTTCTGCATTCTCTTCTGCTTTTTTACAATGTTAGAACAGGAAAGAACTTTAAAGATCATATAGGACAGGGGTTAGGAAACTATAGCCCATGGGCTAAATGCAGCCCACTGCCTGTTTTTGTACAGCCCATGAGCTAAAAAAAAATTTTTAAATTTTTATTTGATTTTAGAAAGACCGAGAAAGGGGTGATGGGAAAGAAATATCAAGTTGTTGTTCCACTTATTTATGCATACATTGGTTGTTTTTTGTATGTGCCCTGACGGGGGAAAAAATCCACAACCTTGACGTAATGGGACAATGTTCTAACCAGCTGAGCTATCTGGCCAGGGCTATGAATGGTTTTTATATTTTTCAATTGTTGGGGGTGGGGGTGGGGCAATTATTTTGTGACATATGAAAATTACATGAACTTCAAATTTTAGAGTCCAAAAATAAAGTTTTATTGGAACTTTATTTTTTATTTTTAGCTGCTTTCACACTACAATAGCCTAGGTGTAATCATATAGACCAAAAAGCCGCAAATACTCAACAGCCCTTCATAGCAAAAGTTTGCTGAATGACAATAATCAATCTGACAGACATTTACTGAGCTAGGAAATGGAATAATTAAGAATTAATAAAATGGCCCTGGCCGGTATGGCTTGGTTGGTTGGGCATCAAGTCCTGTGCACTGGGTGACTGCCAGTTTGATTCCCGGTCAGAGTGCATGCCTGGGTCCCAGGCTCAATCCCTGGTGGGGGTGCGTGCAGAAGGTTGCCAACAGATGTTTCACTCTCACATTGCTGTTTCTCTCTCTCCCTCTCCTTCTTTCTCTAAGAAGATTATAAAAAAGCACTGGCCAGCCCTGGCCAGTTTGGCTCAGCAGTTAAGAGCGTCGGCCTGTGGACCGGAGAGGCCTGGGTTCGGTTCCCACTGAGGGCATGTACCTCAGTTGCAGTTTGTCTCTGGCCCTGGTTGGGGTTGTGTGGGTGGTAACCACTCGATGTGTCTCTCTCACATTGATGTTTCTCTCTCCCTCTCTCTCTTCCTCCCGCTCTATCTGAATATAAGTGCAGAGGTGTCCTCGGGTGAGGATTAAAAAAAAAAAAAAGCACTGGCCAGAGTGGTTCAATGGTTAAAGTGTCCACCAGCAGACCAAAGGGTTACAGATTCAATTCCCAGTCAAGGGCACGTCCCTGGGATGCAGGTTCGATCTCCAGCCCTGGTTGGGGCGCATACAGGAGGCAACCAATTAATATGTCTCTTTCACATCAATGTTTCTTTCTCCTCCCCTCCCCTCCCTTCCACTGTTTCTAAAATAATCAATGGAAAAATAACCTCCAGTGAGGATTAAGCAACAACAAAAAACAACAACAATAAAAAGAATGAATAAAATGAGCTCTCTGCTGTTAACAAGCCTGTAACAGATGGAAAGGAAAACGTATCCTAGATAGAAAGAACTTAACATTACAAATGCTCAATAACTGTGCTGGTACTAACATATATATCAGAAAGGGATTAATCTGGAAACAGTTTTTGCATAATCATGAAAGATCTTGATAGCTATGACAAGCAATTATAATGTAGAAATGAGATAAATTGAAAGTCTTCTGGTGAAGAAGTAACATGATCATGTTCAATACATATTACAGAAATTTAAGTGTAGAAAGTATGAAAAAATAAAACTAATGGGGCTGGAGGAAGAAGGAATGGGGAGTGGCTGCTTAATGAGTATGGGATTTTCATTGGGGATAATAAAAAAAAGTTTTGAAAATAGTTTAACAGTATTATAACTGTACTTCATGCCACTGAATTGTATACTTTAAGATGGTAAAAAATGGTAAATTTGATGTTTTGTGTATTTTATTATAATAGAAATAAAAAACCACTCTGGCAACTAGCCAAAATTATAAAACAAAAAACAAACCAAAAAAATTTAGTAGAGGGGTAGAGTGAAGTTTGGATATTTAGACAAGAAGATGCTATAGCATTCCAGGTGAGAAGATGAGAATGTGGAATAAGTCAGTAGCAGTCAAAAAGGAAAGAAGGCAGCCCTGGCCAGTGTGGCTCATTTGGTAAGGCATCGTCAGTACACTGAAAGGTTGCCAGTTCAATTCCTGGTCAGGGCACACAGCCAGGTCGAGGGCTCAATCCCTGGTAGGGGGCATGCAGAAGGCAGCCAATTGATGTTTCTTTCACATCAATGTTTTTCTCCCCCTCTCTCTCTAAAATCAATGAAAACATTTTTTTTTTTTTTATTTAAAAAAAGCAGTCAAGCCCGGCTGGTGTGGCTCACCAGCTGAGCATCAACCCATGCATCAGGAGGTCGCCGGTTCAATTCACAGTCAGGGCATATGCCCGGGTTGTGGGCCAAATCTCCAGTGGGGGTCATGCAGGAGGCGGCCAATCAATGTTCTCTATCGATGTTTCTCTCTCTCTCTCTCTCTCTAAAATCAAGAAAGAAAGAAAAAAAGAAAAAAAAAGAGTAGCCAAATTCCTCTAGCCCACAGAAATTCTAACTATTTGAGGATTGTGACTAAGCACCAGGGGAACATATCTATACATTGAAAAATAGTTGATTCTGGATGTTTTGTAGGTCCAGATCCTTATTATTTTTTAATCCTCACATAAGGATATTTTTCTATTTATCTACAGATAGAGTGGGAGGGAGGGAAGGAGAGAGGGGGAGAGGGAGAAAGAAACATCAATGTGAGAGACACATTGACTGGTTGCCTCCCGTACAAACTGACCATGGCCAGGGATGAACCGCAACCGAGGTACGTGCCCTTGACTGGAAATGAACCAGCAATTCATTGGTCCGCGGGCCAAGGCTCTAACTGCTGAGCCAAACTAGCCAAGGCGGGATCTTTATCTTATACATTGCCAGTAGAAAGAGCTTTGATCAAGATGCCATGACTCTCTCAAGCTTGCCTGAAAAATATCTAAATTTTTTTTTTCTTTATTGATTTTTTAGAGAGAGAAGAAGGGAGAGGGAGAGATAGAAACATTGACGAGAGAGAACATCAACTGGCTGCCTCCTGCATGCCTCCCACTGGGGATTTGGCCCACAACCTGGGCATGTGCCCTGACCAGGAATCAAACTGGTAATCTCCCAGTGCATGGGTCGATGCTAACCACTGAGCCACAACAGCCAGGCTGCCTAAAAAATATCTAGAATGTAAGGCCTAAACTGGAACTAAAGCATGAAAGCAAGCAAATACCCCATATTATCCTATAGACAGTTGTCTTGTCTTTCATTAAATAATTCTCCAATGGCTAGATCAAAACAAAACAAAGC